GGGCAGAGGGTTAAAGGGAGATGTAATCACTGCACAGATGATTTGTGAAATGGGCGAGATAATCAGCAGTCTTCACTTTCCCCTACCAATGTCCAAACACTAATGGTTTTGATAACAATGTGTATTTAGTGCTGCCTAATGACAGCAACTGCACATGACACTCCACTGAGATGGACAAAATCAGAAATGAGTAGGAACATTGGGTAGACTGAATTGTGAGGAGCAAGACTTCTGAGAACATAGAATACCATACAACAAAGTGAAAAGCAGTTTGTTGCTTCTGAATTTAAGATTAGATTCAGAAAGACAAGTTTGCACAACGGCCAAGGGATGGTTTGATACTACTGGCAAAAAAACCAAGTTTGTTATTTCTATTTTTGTTATTTAAAAAAAAATTACATTAGGATTCAGAAGGAAGTTTGCAGGTACTAATGCAGAACTTTCAGGAAACTGTTTAGAAAGTCAGGAATCATTGAAGGGGAAATATACCATTCAAGAAAGTTATTTTAGTTAATGTAACAGGCAACAAGAAATCTGAGACAGGTAGGAGGAGAAAAAGGAGGAAGAGAAGAAAACTGTCACTCATTCAGCATTTGTCCTTGTCATTTTTAAGGCATATTTTTGCAAGTTAAATAAGTGAGAACCATTTTGACACAGTTACCTGTGATTTTGAATGCAGCTTGAATATCTTCAGAACAATTTTAAAAAAGCCTCTGCTTATAAAGGGAAGATTTGCTGGGGAAACACTAAAACATCTTCATAAATGTATTAGAGCTCTTAGTTGGAATCTCAGCCATTTTAGTTATACAAAAAAAGGAATCTACCCAAATGAAGATTTACCATTTATCTCTTACACTGATTTATTTTTAAATAAAAATAATAGTAAAAGCCTATATACGTATGTAACATTTTTGTTGATTGTTTTTTTTTTTGTATTGTCATAATTTGAGATGGGTTTCTTGTACTGAAAATAAATTTTCTAGGGACCAGTCATGCAATAAACGGGGTTCTACTTCTAATTCACCTTAGTGGAAGTGTTGTTTTTTTTCTTTTCTTTTTTTTTTTTTTTTGAGTTGGAGTCTCACTCTGTCGCCCAGACTGGAGTGCAGTGACCGCTCCAGGCCACCACAGTCTCGACCTGCTGGGCTCCTTCCGCCTCAGCCTTCCAAGTAGCCAGAATTACAGGCATGTGCTACCACGCCCGGCTGATTTTTTTATTTATTGTAGAGATGAGGTCTCACCAAGTTGTCCAGGTGGGTCTCGAATCCGTGGACTCAGGCAATCCACTCACCTCAGCTTCCCAAAGGCGCGGGATTACAGGCTGAGCCACAGAGCCTGGCTTTTTTTTCTTTGTTTTAATTTTTCTGTTGTTTTTGGTTAAGTAAGGGGCAGGGATATTGCAGAAGATGAAATTATAAGGTTAGTCAAGGCTTGGTCATGAAGGGCCTTTCATTCCTTCATGTTAAGGCACTTAGACTTTACCCAGGGGCGATTGGGAACCATGCAGGGTTTTAATTAGAGAAGTGCCATGAAGAATGTTCACAACGTAAAAATTTCCTGTGATTGTGACTACAATTTGGACACTAAATTGGATGAAAAGACAGAATTAGGGAGAACGAGAATAGTTTAGGAGACTTTCTCAGTAATTCTAGAGAAAATTAATGGTGACTTGAAGGAGGTGGTAGGCAATGGATGGATGGAAGTCCTGTGACAGACTCAGCAATGATACAACTTTGACTTTACCTGTATAGATGCTGAGAAGAGAATGGAAGAGTTGGAGATGTTTCCCAGATTTCATGTTTTGGCAACTGGATAGAAAGTGATATGGCTCTCTGAAGTAGAGAATGCAGGAAACAGAGGATCAGACATTTTATGGAGTAAGATGGTAATTTTGGTTTTGGGTTGTCACTCTTGGGGAGCTCCTGGAATACCCATGTGAACAGGTACACTAGGCAGTTGGAAATCTTGGACAAGAGCTCCAGGGTTGAATCCCAATTTGAGGTATAGATTTTTGGATATGTGTGTACAGTGATGACAAGGAGGTCATGGCAGTGAGTATGGTTCCCCCATAGAAAGAACCGGAATGTGAAGAGAACAAATTCTGTGGACAGAATTCTAGGAAACCTGACTTTTAGGAAGCAGGTAGGAGAAGAAGACTTCTGAAGGAGAGCAAGAGGTAGTTAAAGGAGAGGGGAACAGCAGTAATGTGTTGTCAAAAAGCCAAGTTAGGAGGGCGTCTCAAGAGGGAGAGAGTATGCCACAGCATCAGTAGAGCTCAGTTAAGTGAGGACTAAGGAGGCTAGATGGGAGTTAGCAACATGGAAGTCCATGCAGTTTGTGGTATCTACGGTTTCTCTTGAACAGTGAGAATGAATTGGAGGAGGAAGTAGGAAGAAATGTCGAGTATGAGTGACATTTTTTCTTCCTAAATCAATTTTAAAATTGAGATAAAAGTCATGTAACATAGGGTTTACTAAAGCCAGCAACTCAGTGGCATTTGGTACATTCACAATGTTGTGTAACTGTCTCCTCTATCTAGTTCCCAAATATTTTCATCACACCAGAAGGCAACCCCATGCCCATTAAGCAGTTCCCACTCCCCTGAGCCCCTGGCAGCTACCAATCTGTGTTCTGTCTATGGATTTCCACTCCTGGATAGTTCATATAAATTGAATCATACAATGTACGACCTTTTGTGTATGGTTTCTTTCACTTCATGTTTTTGAGGTTTCACGTAGTGTGTATCAGTACTCATTCATTTTATGGTTGAATAACATTTCATACACATACACACACACACACACACACACACACACACACACACACACACACACATGCACTCACCACAATTTGTTTATCCTTTCATGTGTTAATGGGTATTTGGGCTGCTTCCATCTTTTGACTGTTGTGAATAGCACTCAGTGAACACGCATGTATGGTTATTTGAGTTCCTGTTTTTAATTCCTTTGGGTAGACAGGTTGAGTATCTCTAATCCCAAAACTCAAAATTAAAAATGTTCCAAAATCTGAAATCTTTTGAGTACCAAAATGATACTTTTGAGCACCAACATGATGAGGTCATGCTCAAAGGAAACATTCATTGGAGGATTTTGGATACCAGATTTTCGAATTTCGAATACTTCACCAATATGCATATGCAGATATCCCAAAATCTGAAAAAATCCCAAATCCAAAACATTTCTAGTCCCAAGCATTATGGATAAGAGTTGCTCAACATGTATATCTAGAAGAAGAATTGATGGACCCTAATTGAGAATCCATGAGAAGCATTGTGCAAAAAGTTGACTTACACAGTCTGTGTTCTTTGAGTACTTTATATTATCATTGAGAATCACCATTCAGTAATTAAATAATCCATCGAGAGATTAGTTGAATATTATATATGAATGAGTAGATATTTACTCACTATACACACACATACATATATAATTTTTAAAGGAGTACATGTTAGAATTGAGTTGAGTCTTATAGGAAGAAGGCATTTTGGGTGACAAAATTTGGAAAAGTTAGGTCATGCAGGAGAGAGAAGATGGGCATAGGCTGGATGTCTCACAGTTTAATTTTTCTGAAGAAAATAACTCAGGTTGCACTCTAGTTAGCAGTAAGGGAAGGAGCAGAATGATGAAGTGGACTAAAAGCACCCATGGTGCTAATTTAATAGGTAGCTGATTTTTTAAAATTAAGATTGTAAATTTCTTTCTTTCTTTTTTTTTTTTGAGTTGGAGTCTCACTCTGTTGCCCAAACTGTAGTGCTGTGGCCGCTCCCAGCCACCGCAGCCTCGACCTGCTGGGCTCTGGCGATCCTTCC